CCCCCCCCCCCCAAATTCACAAGGAGTTGCTGTTTCTTCATTATGAGTGATACTTGGAGTAGTAAAGTTTGTAGGGCCCGTTGGGATAGGCGTGGTAGTGAATTTAGCTAAACAATAACGTTAGATATTGATAGTAGGACTCTAACCTCAAACCTCGTGATACCTGAGCTCGCCGGTGATATTGACTTACACCTTTGAAACCACTACACACATTCCTCATCAGGGATGACCTTTCGTAAGTAATCTAAATCGTCTTATTGCACCATTTGCCAACGTCAGTTATCTTTTTGTTTAATCGCAATTTATCGGTATGAAACTCATGTTCAAAAACCTTGCGCATCTGTTACTCATGAAGAAAAACGAACAACGATTTACCTACCGCCTGGTGTTTATTTACATTTTTATGGAATTCTCGTAAAATTCAAACGGCAATGCAAAACTACCAAATTACTATGAGGCTCAATTTGGACGGAGTTAGGTGGAATGACGCCGCCTATTACTATTAAGGTCACTCACAGCAGTTAAACTCGTAAAGAAAACTGAACTACTGCAAAAGACCGGCGACAGCAAACGACATATCGCATTCGTAAATAGTTTCCTAACTGGAATGCTGTGCTTTTGAACCTAGAGCGCGAGTAGAAAGAACGCTTTAAAGTCAGTCCGAATGGGAATCAATCGATGATTGTTGAGGGCTACGAGGAAGTTAATCTCTGATATTAAAAACACTGAAAACATCTTTTTCGACGTTTCTCATTTACTTTTGTTAATTTAATTTATAGGTCTACGACGTCCCTAAGAGGAAAGTCTACATTTGCCTTCTCTTCAAAGGTGACGATATCAGCCTGAATTTCAAATCAAGTCAAGTCAGTCGCAGCTTTAAGCACCCGGATGGGTGAAGTTTCAGCATTTACACCATATTTGTGGATTCAAATTTACAAATTTATGTATGCGTTTTTTTTCGCAAAGCCACTAGTTTTGCTTTGACGTTTTCAGCAGTAAATGATACGTAGGTGAGTGAAGGATGTGGAAGATGATGCAACCGTTGGGGTAGTTGTAAACCTTCAAGTCGAGATGCAGCGAAATCTGCCTTGGCATGCAATCGTGCAACCTAGCTTTGTTGTGCTGTCTTTTCAAGCTTACCTCAGGAAATAAATGTTTCAATAATATAAGTGCAATAATACTCAAGCGATGAAGGATGATAATGTATCATATAAAGAGTCTGATATGTAACTGTGGTTATTGATACCTAATCGCTTTTACATATCACCTGAAACCTTCAGTTAGGTGTACCTCACTTCTTTCAAACAAATGTTATCGTTTTTTATTTAACGTGACTAGAATAATCATAACGTTAACAATAATTTGAGGCTAGTTTCTAGTATTAAATAATCTGTGGTGACTTGAGTCTTGTACAATAACGATAGGGTATCACTAATCAGAGGTGTCGATGGTCGATTTCTACCATCACCGCAAACCTTCAAATTTTCGTTGTATCTCATGGCGTTTTCTTTAACCAGCGCGTAAACCTTTCTCAAAATTGCCTGAACCATTATGTATTCAACAGAAATAGGGAGATTAGTCAGCTCTTGCATCCCCCGGAAAGGCAAATTTGTTTTCTCTGTGTGAAACACTAACCTCAAGCAGTTCATCCTCCGCTTTCAAAATGCCCAGACGTTCGACTGGTCCTTTTGGAGTCAAATCAACAATGTAGTGATGCGGAACAGGATTTAAATCGCCCTCTTCCTGTTCCATTGTCCCTTCCAAACTGAGGCCTAGACCGCATGTGGAGTTGGAGATGTCATACTCGGCTACCTATGTCAGGAGAGAGGAAGATATTTCATGCATAATTACTTCAACATAAGGTTAAATTATACGCGCATACTTGGAATAAACATACGAGTGGGTGAATGATCCTCAACGAACCTTGATACATTCAAATAAATAAACTCATTTGAAATTGAGATGCAATACTCGGAGGTGCAAACTAGTTCTCCAGAAAAATATTCCGTAATTGTTTAAGTCAGATAAATATCAGACTAATGTAGTTTATTTTGTCTATATTGAAATCTTGGATACACAAACAGGCTTCCAAATATTGGCATACTAATATTTTTCAAGATACTGTACCAATCTCCAAAGAACAACACTTGAAAGGCCCAAGCAATCTGCCCGGTAAATGCGATTATCAGTCGTATGCCCATTTCCCTGAGTTAATATACTATTGAAACGGACAATTCTTCCCAAAAACGATGTCCGTATTTCCCGAGATCATTTCCATTTACTGATTGAATGAAAATAACGGTAAAGGAATCACTGTTAGAAAAATGCAACATTACTACAGTAAACGAAAGTGGCATGTTATCCGAAATGCGAATTTCAACTGGAATTACTGGTATGGGATTTATATGCAACAGTATTTTAAGGTCAAGCTGGTCACACTGTATGCCAGCCAGATGGAGCTGAGCAATCCCATCGATCGCTCACCAATTGGGCGTTTTTAACCGATGACAAACAGATTCATGAGAAATGCACATCCTTTGGTTGATATATCATCAGTATGTTTCGATGTCAAACGGGTTTATCATGAATACCGGGTTGTTATTTTATGCTGGAACAGATGTTTACAAGATGTTTACATACAAGTCAGTTAAAAACATTGGTGGGCACAAAGTGTCCCGTAACGTTTTGACCCGCATTGATCCGCGTCTACTACAGTCTAAACAAGTATTTCCAGATTTTGATGAAATAATGGATTACAGACTAAGGGATGCATGTTTGATCACAATTATCAATTATTGTTAAAGAAATAAACAACAGACAGATGAACAGAATCGATCTTCCGATTCCCCTATCGAATAGCCACTGCCTCTTTTAAACTTCGCGGTCTCGTGCACGCGCGCATACACTACTAAGGCAATTAGCACACACCTATACACATTTGACCTATCTCCACAGGAGAAGCTGGCGTGGCAAGAGAAAACCTGTGCTTATAGGAACAGAATCGATGCTCTCACACATGATCAGACATTTTTAGCCATTGACAGAACAAAAGACCAACTTTTACATACACCAATCCCTCTTCCATGCGATCCGCAGAAGCTTGTGATGAACTGCTGAAAACAAATGTCCAGCTTCACTTGTTTGAAACAAGTGAGCCCTTGTTTTGGGGAATTATGGAATAAAGTTCATTTTGTAAAGTTAACGAATTAGTCTACTTCTGGTAGAAGAAAGTTCATTGATAGACTGAAATTTAAAATGGGAATTCATCGTTGTTGTCGATTGAATTCGATAACTTGCCAAAATTTCAACATCTGGAGTAAATTGTGATCTCCAATAGTCCAACTGGTCCGCGTATTTCACCTCCACGTTGACATTGGAAGGTGCTGCAGTGGGGTTTTCGTAAAAGGGGAACATCCAAGACATTTATTTCAGGTGAAGTCTTAATTATTGATAAAATTCACAATAATTACTATAACAATACTAGTAATAGTAAATTTTGTTGCTCCATTTCATTGGAAGAACCGAAAAGGGGTGCAATCGATTTTTCCGAATACGAATGGGCCAGTCAAACGTTAACAGGTGAAATACTTAAGCGAGAAATGTGCTCTGCGTTGGCGGAATTCGAAAATAGGACCATCGGGTGGCTGTGATGATGGCCTTTACCGCTCGATTACCGCCGTCCATCCGAAAGATCAAAGTTTGACATCAATTTACCCAAATGAGTTCCATTTGGTACAATATTTAATGGAATTTATTATTCTCTGAGTTAAATACAGGTTATGTAAATTTGAAAACATGGCTGAGAACATCTGTTTGGGGAGGAATTTTACTGATCACTTCTCGTTATTCAAATATTCTTATGAACATAAAAGCGATTTTTTCTTTCTGATATTTTTTAAAGAAATGTTCAACTCAAAATGAAAAACAACTGAATAAAAAATTGTGAAATTCATTTCAAAATGGAGCTAATTCACAAGTGATTTGGAGTAAAAAGTATGAGAGCGGCGAAAGAAAATACAAAACTCTTACGCGGGAGTTGGTCGATATTCTGCTCCACTTTCGGTGCAGAAGTAGTAACTGATGTCCCCTGGTCCACCTGCGTTCTCTCTGTCGTTCTCAGCCTCTGTGTTTCGGGCTTGTGTTTAGCACCACTTTCATCAACCTGAGGACCGTTTGTCTGGAAGTGATTTTCTGAAAGTATCAGTTAAAACGTACAGTTCACCTTCTGATCATACAGTATGTGCGTGAATTGGGTTGGTCAGGATGATGAAGTTGTAAAATACTGCATTACAACTAACTTATGACTCATGTTGATAATCGCTGTTACTTGGAATAACGGAGCTGAGACGCAGATCACAATCCTCTGAGCAGAATATCAGAATTTAATTATTGTCTCTAATTATGTGATGTCTAAGAATTTGTAGTCAAGGTTGGAGCACAAGCCGTGTAATTCATTGTTCAATCTAGCAATAGCTTGTTGTCATCACCAGCGCTGTGGCCCACTCTGTCGACTCGACGAAGCAACCGGAACACCCGAAACTATTAATTTACTGGTTTTACCTCCCAACTTTGAATCAGTGGTTACTGGTGGCCCGGAACTATATGAAGATTAGGTGGTTGAAACAAGCAACTGCCAAGCGCTTCTAGACCTTTACATATGTGTGTGAGTGAAAGTGGTGGACGAATTCACATACAAACCCTGATGTCTGGGAAATCGGATAAGCCCGGTACGCCTTAACTTTGACAAGAACGATATTTATTAGTATCAGCAAGATGAACAGACACAATTAAAGTCTGAGAGAGGGGGTAGTTCCACTCACGTGCTAACAACTGGACCGGATGATCATCCAAATCGTGTACAGGTCGAGCCACTTTCAGCTGAACAAATGAGGTTTTCTGACAGATTGATTTGATTTTTTTCAACGCTTCCCGCGGATCCATTCTTTCAATCCCATCATAGTTGATCTGAACAGTGCACGTGTTTGGTTGTGTGTGTATGTGCAACCAAAACATCAAAGTTGAATTTAGGAGTGTGGCGCATGCACATAAATGAGTATTCAACTAGTACATGTAACATCTTTCAATAGCTTATCAGTTTACAAAGTTAACACCCATTAGATGAAGTTTGGGAGTTAATTCTTATCAGAAATTCACCAGTTTTGGGGATGAAGTTATTTAGTGAGGTTTTATAATCAATATCAAGTCCTGGTGACAAAGGGGTCTACGGATTCTCGAGGTTTCCCCTTCAAGAGCCAAATGAGTGTGTAATTTAATCATTGTGAGTAGTTGTAGTAGAGCACGAAGTAGGATTGATAGACTTTTCACTATCATCAGAAGGACAGCTATACTCCAATCTGGCCTATTTCCAACATCGCCTGAAATTCGGAGTCCAAATTTGGCTGCATTCCAAACGCGTTACACGTAGGTACGAAGATAAGCACTGGCTTATCTCAAGCTCCATGCGCACCAAAACAAAACTACTCCTAAGTGGATTACAACTTTAGCGGGTTTTAAGGAAATTTTGCACAAACAATTTCCGCGCTGACCACATAACAGTCACAAGTTATGATAGGCATGATCAAGTGGTACTTGGTAAACTTAAATAGCAGAACTCCATGCATTATTCTCCTCCGGTTCTTCTCCTAGACGTCATTCGTTTAATCCCATTCAATCTCTTCAAATCGCTCAATTTTCTCCGGAATAGCTATATGACGGAATCACTGACAACATGATCACCTGAGGTTGAGAATATAACGACAACTAGAAGCCGAATTTGTGAATCCAAGCGAAATATAGACCGTCAATCTATGTGGCAGCAAAACTCCTTGAAGGTCTAGAAAATTGAGCTCCTTCGGAGGATGTTTTCAGACGTTACTTCAAATTGTATTGTATTGTAAGTGCACCTCAAGTAGGCACTGTACTAACCCAAAAAAGAATACTTATTTTTGGAAAGTCCCATTCAAATAAATAACAACTGTCAATTGAAAGACCTGTATTTTTCAGGGCTCTATAGTGCCGGTCAAAACATTATGGGTTAGAACTGGGATTCAGGTCAAACTTTACAAGCAACTGCCAGCTATGAAACAACTAGCAACCCCATTCAGCCCGTTTCAATCTATTTTCGGTCCGTACAGAAAGAACATAATTACTGAATTATTACCATCTGGCACACCTTTTTCGATCTGAAATTAATGCAAACTTGTGGTGAACAAACAAACATAAAGCAACTAGGACAGTGTACACAAGAACGAAACTGAGGGATTGTCAATAGAGGTAGAGCGTCTGTGTTATTAACTTCTGGGTACAGAGCAGGAGATTACATAAAATGACTAGTGTAAACAAGTTGGCAACTTCGGAGTACAACTCCGCAACAAAGGTTCGAAAGAACGAATTGAGACCACTGTGTGCTGCGTTTTGACCACATGTTTCGTAATCTTAATAGATCGGGATTAGAGTCCGCTACATTTCCCGATATCACGTTTTTCAAGCATTTGAGGAGGTTTTTCGACATTTTTGTGACAGTTTTTGAGTTGCTCTGTCGATTTCGGTGTCGACGGAACTGCGGGTGAATTGATACACCCAAACGTAACACATGACAAGATTCATGATTGTTTAAATAGACCGTTACTTCGGATGGACGGTAAAATGCGCGACTGAGTATGTGCCGATCATGGCTCACCTGAGTTTGCAACACAGATCACGGACTGCATGCTACCAAGAAGTTTTTGTAGCCATCTTTCATCAGTCATTGAACTGAAAAGTTTTTATCATTTAAATGATCCAAATTTCGAAATATGCCCATACTCACATTTAAAACACAGTTTCAGGCGAACAATTATTTTCAATAACTCATTATCATGCCGTTACACTTTACATGAGGAGAAAAGCCTAAGGGTTGGAAGAACAATAAAATGTGAGGAATCGTTCACTTTGTGTATGTGTGTCTGTGTTTGTGTGCGTGAGTGCTGCACACTGCATTCTCAGATCAGAGAAGCGTCATGGGTTAATTGACCTTCAGTGTCGGGTCTGGACCAGGGTAACTGTAGGGCTTTGACGAATTGTCTTTTGTGAGCATAGAGTTGTTCGCAATAACCTTATTGCTACCGCCTCTGCTGTTGCAAGATGGCGCTGTCGGAGGGGTTTGGAGGGGTTTGGGGGTACCTTGTAGGTAATTTTGAACGCATCCTCAGTTATCTGATGTCCAGTATCTACGAGGTGCGCCGTGATTGCACTCGAAACTGTCCTTGTGGTTCCTGTGTTTAACCAAGCCGGTTTGTGTTCTTTCATTCTTTGAGAAAACTGCCTGATCGTCCTGCCTATGTAGCTTGCCGAACTTAAGCAAACAAGAAAATAGGTCAACATGGAGGAGGTGAGGATAGGCAATTTGTCTTTGGGATTCAATGACAACAAAGATCGGCTGGTGAATTATGTAGGTAACCGGGCCGCAGGAAACGTTCAAGCGAGTGACTTATCTAGGTGTCTTGTTAACAAATTGCATTCAAACGGGAGGCGTATATAGATTTGCTTTTGTCTTACTGTAGTCACTGTTGTTCTCTTGGCTCTGTCACACAGATTCTTTTCAATGAATCTCTCAAGATAGCCATTGTTTAATAGGGCTTACCTGAGCCGGTTCAATTCTAACTCCAGGTTTTCTGCTGAACATATATTTCTGACGCGAGCAGCTAGGGATCGGATGAGGATTCGCTTACGCCCCAATGGTACAAAACTGGCGAAATGAGTGCATTGAGCTGTCCATGTGGGTTTCCTGTAGACTACTCTACTAATTGTTCCGCCCGAGTGCTTGGTAAGATGAACATCTAGGAAGTGGATGTGTTGGCCGTTTCCATTTCCGAAGTAAAATGGAGCGCGTCGTGAGCTTGGTTAAACGTGCTGGTTTGCAGTGTGTTTGCAACAGTATATTCTCGGCAATTAATATGAAAATTGTCAACGTAACGGCAATAGAATGGTAAACCTTCTATGGTATCTCAGAGTTCCTGGTTTTCTAATTTTGTGTTGAAAATGTCAGCCAAAAGTGGGCCCATTGCAACTCCGTCCGTTTTCCTGTACAATTCCCCGTTGAAACTAAACAGAACGTTGAAGGTACAGCGTAGTTGTAACTCCTTCAGGTTAGCCAATGGAATACCGATATTTATCTCGTTGGCCATAATGCAGTCACATAACAGCATTTCTACACATTTAGAGGAATTGAGAATTCATTTATGCTCAGTGAACTACTCAGAAAGGTTAGTAAGGCCAAGTTGGAGAGTGGGGGCATCGGGGTGAGCGATTCCGACCACAACATCGTCCACATATTTATTGAGCAGGTAATTTTGAAAAGTAGGCATGGATGAAATACAAGTGGAAAAGAAAAACGGGAATAGAATGGCACCCTGCAATACGCCTAGTGTAGAAATTAAGGAAGAAGAGGAACGACCAAGGTAACGTATGAACTTTGATCGATTTATGAAACAGTCAGTGGATACTGCAGTAATAGTTTGTGATATTCCGTTGGAAGACGAAATATTTAACAGCGTGGACCTGTCAACCCAATTGAAGGCGTCACTGTAATCCAAGAAACAAATTCTGACAGCTTTCGTGTTTCCATCAATTGCTGACAGAATGTAGTGAACCAGAGAAGCTAGGGCACCTGGTGTGGAGCGAGAGCGACGGTACGCAAATTGGTTTTGGTCCTTCACATTCAGCTGAGATGACATTCCTTGAAGAAGCAACTTCTCGAAAAGCTTCAACACAACAGACATACATGCAATGGGACGGAATTTTGAGGTGCCTCTTTTAGTCACTGGAGCGATGGTGGCAGCTTTGCAACAATCCGGTATAATTCCGTTTTCCAAGTACTGGTTAAACAGAGCTGTGAGCGCTGACGGAATTGTGTGAGCGCACTCCTTAAGGATGTCAGTCTCTAACCTATCGGGACCGGGTGATTTATTGGGTTTGAGTGAGAGAAACTCTTTCAGAACATCCTGTTGTCGAATAGTAGAGGGTTCTTCATTGCTGGAGTCGATATTCGCACTGGTGATGATTGACCCCGTCCCCGTGTTGGTACTTTTGTTGAATGATCTGTTTAGTTCCTCAACGTCTATTGCTGTTCGAGACACGTTGAGGACTGACACTCAGTTGCTTGATGGTGTCCCAGGTTTCCCGGCAGGTTTCGTTGTGCAAGAGTGTACGAGTGTAAATGCCGTTCACTCGAGGTAGTTCACCTTTGATAGTAAGAGATAAGAGTTTCACTCTTTGAAGGTCTTTTCTTTTGTATGCCCTTTTCTTGCTTTGACACAACTGCTTCAGATGGAGAGACGAGATGCGATCACACCGAAGGTGTAGCGTCTCCCAGGGGAAGCATATATCGTAGCAGAAGTTCAGATACTACGTAAGGTGATCACAGCGGATGGAAGGATTGAGGTTGTCAAACACGCTGAAGTTCGCCTGCGAGATCATCACATTGAGCTTTTTCAGGTTCTCTTGGTTACATTGACGTCCTCTTCTTTTTATGTCACGGCTTTTTGTGAACGATATGTGATTGACTTTGCAGTACACTTTTGGAGAAAATTTAACAAGGGAATGGTGTGAAGACACAAGAGGGGAACAGGAAGATGCGGGAAAAAAGCTGATATTATTTACAAAACAATTGTCTAAATGAGCATTTAGTCTTGTTGGGAAACTCACTATTTTTTCAAACCCAGAGCAGACAAGAATGAGATAGCAACACGATCGAAATCACCACAGACGATACATAGCAAGAAATCAAGATAACTCATTAAAGCTATGGAAATAGTATCTGAAAAATGAAGAAGTTCCTCTGTGGGACAAGAAGGAGTAATATAAATGTTTGCTTAGACAATCGAATGATAGTTACTGAGGTGCTTTGGCTCACATTCATGTACGGAGGTACATATGTGATCAGTGGAATGAGAAAACGTTTGCTTCACGTTCTTGAGCCAACTGTTATTGATATAAGTCACCAGGCCTGCTCCACGCTTCTAATACGTTGCCGAACGCTGGACTCGGTATCCAGTGAAGCCATCGATTTTAGTAATCTGTTCATCAATTCCTCTATGTAACCAATTCTCTTGTAATAGAATTGCGCCTAAGTTAGAAAATTCCATACGGCGCAGAAGATCAGATATATCTGGTAATTTTCCAAGCAACGAACGGACGTTGTTGCTGATATTGATGGGTATGCAGAGTTGTGACAAAGCTCTTTGACGCAGTGTTACTCTCCAAGCACCTTGATGCTTCCTCCAATGTCTGGGAGATTTTCTGCGAACCTTTTTGTATTTATTTTTCACTGATTTTCAAATTTAATTACTTCAGGAGGTAAATTACAGTTCTTAAAGTTTGTCATGAAGGCGTTATGGAATTTCGCGATTAGCGTCATCGTAATTGTGCAATGTATCTATGGAAACGACCCACAAAGCGATTTGAAGTATAAAAACAACGGGAATGTCAGTGACTATGTGACAATGATCGAACGGAAAACAACAGCGCGGACAAATTTGAAGGCCCCGCTAAGATGCTCATTGCTGAGAAGATTCCTTGAATTGGATGGGAATAGATACATACAATGTTGAGAAGAATAATAGTTCTACTCACCTCGGTAATACGATCACCTTCTCGTAGAATTCCATCCACTGCAGCTTGACTGTTGGGAAATATTGAAACAATGTAAACACCATTTGCATCTACAAAACACGGACAATTGGACGTGACATCAACAGCACATTTTGTTGGACAATTTATTACTACTATCGAGTAGTAAGGATGTGAACGCCAACTCAAAAAATCACTGCAGGCAAGCTCGGCTGAGTAGACTACCGGGAACAGAAACTCAAATAATGTTGTTTACAACTCACCCTCATCAAATCCCAGTTGCAATCCAAGACCGGAATCTGGATTCGAGGCGTCAAGAACTGTTTCACGATACAGGACGTCGCATGTGTCTTTTGAGGTACCAGTCTGGAAAGGATCCCGGTGCATAAATTAAAGGGGCATCGAGTACATTTATTCATGATTACAACAACAAAAAACAAACGCTTCGTTAGTTGGCCAGACATGCACAATGTGATAAATTCCGGTATCGTAACAAATAGGAATGATACATCTGTCTCAAATCGATCTTCAATTTTATTTGGTGCAATGCAGTACAAAGTCCGTTGACAGATTTAAATCGGGATATATTCAATCAATACTTATCTCTCTTGATCGTATTATACAGCCGACAGTTATGGCCTTGTTGATTGAGTTTCACTACCCCCCCCNCTCCCCCCCCCCCCCGGTAACTACCATTCATTTTATAAGCATTAAATTATTGAGTGATGAAACCTTCTTTCAGTGTTTTAGTATCTTATGCAACAGCGTGCTTGGAAGTGGCGGGGAATTAGCCAAAGCAATTCATCTCACCAACATCACCATGAGAAAGTATTGATCTAATTTTTTGAACTTAGCCCCCATCTGCGATAGTTGTGATGCTATCTGCTGATGAGAATTTTGTTATGTCTTGTCAAGCTTGTGCAAGTAGGAAGATAACAGCAGCAAAACAATTAACTGATTGTGATACAGGTACATGAATAGAGCATTACATGTGCAGGGAAAATTCGTGTGGTTCAGTGATAATGGGCACGCAGTTCACCAGTTACCAGATCTTTATCTACTAGCACAGCAGAAAAATGGTGCATTGTAGAATCTCCGTACATGTTTGTTGTATTAGGAACAAAATGGTAAAGAGAACGAGTTTCGAAGTTATAGTGGCAATTTGAAATATCATCATGAAGTTAATGAGTGAAAAATTTGAGAACTTTACACGCATTCACATGTAAATCACAAACTCCATGCACTAATTTAATGAGGCGGGATCAAAGCAACATAACTGACGACGATTATAAAAAAAATTAAAATCCTTTACTAACAGTCCATGAGAAATTACTGGAGAACAATGGAGGAAAGGTGGTTCAACGCAGTGAGAAACAGAAAAGGAGCAGAGTACCCAAAGAACTGTCTAAGCTTTCTATTTGGAAAAGAAAATTGATACAAACACTGTAAGCAGTCAGTAACTTGAAATAATCATTGAATATCGCTACTCTGGATCTTGGTAGCGGAAAGATAGAAGGGTGAAAGAATCATTCAGAAGAACAGAACAATAAACGGGTAAAATGAATTCAGAACGATTAGGAAATTAAGGTGGATTTTATTCTTTACAGAATGATTCACAATCCATCGAATACAAATCCGTAATATGGTCATTGGTCGGTACCGCATGACATATAGTTAAAGTATCATTACAATAAGTAGCCGCATAGGTGAGTTTACCAAGACCGAATTCGTCTAAACTCACGACGGGGTCAGACTTGGATCAAATAACTCTCGATAGGGATCTCACCATGACCAGAGAAGAAACATTTACGGAACTGCGAACGAACAAAAATAAGGCTGCTAAACCTTTTACAATTCAAACATAAGACTTCCGTCTGCAAAACAATGTAATTTGAACAAAATGAGACGAAATGTACCTTGTCAGGTTTAGAGCTATGAGTGATTGAGCCATCGCTGCCACGCTTTCCATGCAATTCAACATTCTTTTTTCGACTAATCAACACCAACAAAGGTTTTGCCCTATTGATTTTAGGATCAGAACCATAACGATCCAGTCGATAAGGTTCGTCCAACAGATGACGTGCCAAATCATGCAGATTCGCGTTGAACTGAAGACCTTTGAGTTCTTCAGCATCCAACAAACCAAATCGGTGTAATTCCAGGGTACGCCAATTCAACGGAAACCCAGAAATGGCAACCAGTCGATCCCCGCATCTCAAATTTAATGCGCTAGAAGTATAATCACAACAAGGGATAGAAGTGAAAGAATGATAGTGTAATCATAGAAGAGAAACTGAAATAAACGTTTCCATTCGGCTTACTGACCAAAATGATGGCTAAAATAGGAATCCTGTAACATCAAAAATGTACTAATATAGTAATCAATCATTTCAGCGTTACAGGCAAAATATGGGTGGGCTTCAATGTAATCAATGTTTCAGTCTCCAAGATTTCAATTACTTAAAAATTAGAGCCTGACTGGAAAAACAGTCATCTCGAAATAGCACGTATTCATGATTTCGGGTAGATGTCTCCATTTGCGTATCCAGAGTTTTTATTCCACCCAAATTAGCTTCAGATTCACTTCGGCATGACCAACTTATCCCGCTTGAGTTCATGCGGAGGCTATTGATTGGATCCATTTTGTGGTCTGAACTCGGTCCCAGCTAAAAATGTGTTTGCTAATAGTATTTCAACTGATGATCTTATGGCCGCACCATCCTTCTACGTTCGCTTAATTTAAAATTATTCACTTCACGGAATTGTTTTTTTTTAAGTTTTGTTAATAAAACCTCTATATGGCGATCTTTGGAGTTATATATTGTCTAGTAAAATTCACTATCTTTAACAGAGTTACAATGGTAAACAAGTATCCGACATCAAAAGAGAGCGTATATTTGCGTAAAACGCTTCTATTCCCGCTGGGATTGACCAATGTGAATGAACCTGCCACAATGCAGCTGACTAAATATTATTTTTTTAAATTCGGTTTTCCTTCAGGTGTTCCCGTTGTTTAGGAACAGTTACTTATGCAAGTTAAATGCGAATTATCAATCAAGCATGCGAGGGTTTGTGGTAAGTCGGCTCGTAACCTGCATGGAAGTCCTGACTTGGTTGGAGGCTTTCGATCAGAGTTATCAGATTATCATCTATCTTCAAATGAAGTGACTGACTATCACTGAAGACGACAGACACCTGAACAAACATGAATTGTCGATTCGGTTCAACCAAGGTATAAACTGGTTGGCACGGTGGTAACGCACACGCCTTCCATGCGATTTCCCCGGAGTTCAACTCCCGGATGGGACGGTAGATATGCACTGTTGATGAGCTCTAATAAGGGCGAAACTCGATTCTAGTGCTTCTGAGTGTAGGGTTGAATCGATTAACTGAAGATTACGCGTGAAGGTGAATTCCGAAGGGTAGTCAGTCAAATCAATCAATATCAATTATCCCACACCCATACTCACAAGTAATTGTGAGTAAGATGCGAATAAACTAAATTGCAGTCTCTCGTGTGCACCATGCAGAAAGTGCTACGAAAGCCCAGCAGTTGCTTGTTTTCATACTTGCCCTGACAATCTAAACTTCTTTGTGATTCTTCTTTTTTGATGATTTTACCTTCCGCAATACTCTGATTCTCGTGTTTCCTGTAAAATTTTCCTCAATAATCCACTAAGTCCACTAAACATCTACTCAATCTCATTCATAACGAGGAAGTGATCGAATGGCATAACTAGATGCCAGTACTGTTTTATCCAATAGTCGGAGCATTGTTGAAAAAAAGACAGTTCCAGTGTCTGGTTTTTCAGTTACCATTTCAAAAGTACACTCTTCCATAGAGTTACTGGAAGTCTCAATCGTCAGTTTTGCATAGTATGCATAATGCATCAAGCCCATCGCTCATTTCGCACAGCGTGTAGTGACTTTGTTAGTTTATTTCGAGCTGCTTTCCCCGTGCAGCTTTCGCGCTTCAAAATGAAAATTTTCTTTTATTTTGAGAAAAACAATGGATTCAAAGAACCAATATTTTTGTATCACACACTATATCGAAAGTCACGTCAACTTTTCGTTGGAAATAGTTTAAGCAACTAAAAACTGTTCGAATTTCTTTTTTCTTTTTCGTTCGAAAGCGCATCTAGGCAGGCAGAAGTGATATCTGATTTCCACCATTAAAAATCCATGCAAATGATGCTAGCTGTTTAGGGAGTGAGAATGATCTCCTTTGTCTACACCCCACCAACACTGTTGAATATGAATGTGAATGAACTCAAGCCGGTTTAAATGAACCAGTCCTCGGAACGTAAGTCTAGCACGAATCCAAACAGGGCATAAACACAACTTGAGCCGTATATCTACTGTGCCACAGGTCACCACCGCAGTGACGTTGCATTTGTAATCAGATGTTTTCTCAAGTCAGAAGTTATGAACCAGATTTTGAACTGTTTGATTTGCAAGCTGCAGTAGGAACGAATTTTTGTTCTTCAAACCTATCACTTATTTATTCAGGCTGAGGAAATTATTCAGTTTTTCTAGTAGCCAACACTCTCCCATATTATTGGCTGTGTTAGGTACGTCTGTGTGCTTTGATGATTGTCGCACTATCCTGGAGGGGGAGGGCTCACCCAGATGTGCAATTCCATCCAGTTATTGAACCATGGGTCGCATACATGCATCCGAAAATCACTTTTTACTTTGATTCCCCTCAATCCTTTGAGTTACATCAACTGACCTCCGAGACAATGAGGGCACTTACATGTTGATTCAGTATTCAAAGTCGAACTAAAGATTACCGTCCACATTCAGTAAAATAGCCATAAACGAGCTGATGAATTGTGGGCAGCTAACCGATCGAGGAAAGCCAGAAAACCCCTGGTTTTAAATATCCTAAGGAGAGAAATAACAGAAGGCACCAAACCATCCTGATCTCCATGATTACTAGATTAGCTAAACAATGAATAGATATTTGACACTCGACAAGTGTGAACCACGTACAAAGGGCTCATGATCAAAAGACTGACTAGCTACCGTCTCGCTGCTTTCCTGGCCGGGCTACCCGATGGCTAATCCTCAAGAAATACCCCGGTTTTGTTTGCTTAACGCGGCTTTATTACGAACTATTTCTTTTGCCAAAATGATTACTGTGTCATGACTTGCCGAGCATAGCTCAGATCCACACTAGTGTGAAATATAACATACATTAATACCTCAGGTAACTTCAGTTGATTGTACACTTGAATAGTCTTCCATCAATCGAATCGAATTGATTGACTGAAACCAACACTTAACGGCTTACTTCCTAAGAAAACAATCGGAATGCTTTCATCCTCACAATAGTGCTACCTCTTCAAAGCCCAAGATTTTTTCTTTACAGCGTTGGTCAAGCGGGTAAGGCTCATCTCTCTGAGGGCTCTGTTTTCGAAATATACCTGCCACCTCAATATCACATTATCACATAATGGCCTTTTGATTAGCCTCCCTCCTGCGCACGCTCTAGGGGCCCGGAAAAATTAGCAAGATAATAGCAGATCGTACTACACCATACCCAGTGTAAATAACTTTCCAAATTGAGTTACAGTTTGATAGCAGCAGATGAACGTATTCTTATCATTTATATCTTTAAACAGGGATCATTGTTCTGTAATACAACAGAAAACTTCATCGCTTGAGCGTCGAACCATGTTACCTTACCGCCATAAATCCACCAGAAATCTTCCAACTAAAGTTTTCAAAAGACTCAAAATTTATCTCTGGTTCTCTCAAAAAATTCGCCTCTCGTTTGCGTTTCCCACATACATCTCGTTACACCTAATATGTGCATTGAAATAGGTACCGCAAATTTTCAAACAAGGTCCTACACTTAATCCTTATCGTTTCCTTCTTTTACTCAACCCGGTCACACGTAACTTGAGTTTTCTAATTTCCTACCTATTGTATCAAATTAACCCATACTAAGTTCAATCAGAATTCACAAGGAATCTGAATAAACTCTCCGCCAACGTACTTTTTACCTACTTAATTTTGTTCCATATTTGCTCTTTACGTTATCGATGAAATATTCATTATCTGGTAGGTGAGTATGAAACCCTCTGGTACATGCAGCACCTGTCTGACTTGATTTGGTTTTCGCTCCCTTTGGTACGGAACACACCCAATCGGATGTTGAAACCAATCTGAATGAGTGGTTTTTTCCGTCCATCGGGTCTAAAATGAGGTCCGTGAGGTGCACTTGTCACGTGACTCTTCTCTCTCGATCAACTCAGACAGCAACGCACATACATGTTTGAATCAAGTGGCTCAATTGNTGGGTTGAGTAGTCAGAATAGCCATGAAGGCAAGGTCAAAAGTGTGTACATTGAACAACGGGTCACGTGATGGATTCTGACGGAATACTTTGACTAAGTTAGGATTGACAGACAGGCAGCCAGACGCATCAGTTCAACTCGTCTCTATTCGGCTATTCACAGAATAACTTATGATCGCGGATTACTTGATAATAAATGCAAACAACAAATATATGAAAATATTGTCTCATGTTACAAAATGTGATATCTCTTTTCAGTATCAAATAACGTGCATGATACAATAAGGATGTTTTGTGTGTAGTATGATAGCAATTCTCATGCAATCACGTGATAAATGTTAAACTTACAAACCGCAACCTGGTTGCTTTAAATACCTAGCTAATCAGGGCACAAAAGTGGACAAACGATACGTGTCCGTTCGAACCAGTGATTCATTGAGCTGAGAAACCGAAATCACGATCTCTTACATATACAATCGAAAGAAATCAATAATATAGTTGACTTTCTGGGTTGATTCTGTGAATTTAAGGGTTGCATACAAATTTACTCATGAGTTTAAAAGAATGAAACATCCAGTAAGTATTTGCTACCTCAGATTACGAAAGTGTTTCAAAGGATGGAAAACATTTAACCGAACAGTTGCATAGCACTCATCCTCACACTTATGTATGTCGCCGGTCAGTTACTTGTGGATTCTGAATCAATAATATGTTTCCACGTTGATTTCTAGGATTTAAGAGCTATCGTATAATAGCCGCATTAGGCAGGGTAACAGAAACATGGTAACCATCAAACGCTTGTCTCCAAACTCTATGGTGAAAGTAAAACAAAACAAGATCAAATCGGACATGGAAACGACGAGGTAAGGGCAGTGATCATGTGAGAACAAGCAACGACTGCAAGTCTGAACATCAGTCGTCGAGACTAAATGGAACAGGTTGTCGCTATTCAGAACACCATTTTGACACTTTTGTGATTATATATATACATATATATATATATATGCTTTTAGAAGTTGCATCGTATTTCTAACCACATACGCGCGCATGTGTACGCATATTTGAGAGTCGCACCTTCGTGTACGCAAATAAGTGTGCAGTTCGGAGAGCACACATACGAGCAAACACGAGTGCGAGAGCGAAGTACCGGTGTGTGTATGTGTGTGTGTGTGTGTGTGAATGTGTTTCCTCGTCCACACGTCGATGACTTACGCGAACGCGGTCCGAGATGCTAATGAGCATCATCGGATTTTCGTTATACTCACAGTAACCAGAAAAAAGAATCAATACTCGGTTACGTGAAACACCGGATTTCATCCTGACCAAATAGCGAACTGACACATGCAGTCAAATGCAAACTGTATCAAAGGAACACGTAAACACGTGCCACAGCAGGCATGCACATCATGGAAAACCAACGGATACTAACAGGATCAAACCTCTCACACCAAGATCACCATTGGTGGCAACACGTGTCGCAATTTAATCCCTCCTCCGTTGGATCGTATAATACTAACTTTCTACGGATTACAAAATATCACGTTTATCTGATTTCCTGTTATAGCCGTGTCCTTCCCGAGACCAAAACTGTACATGGTAGTATAGATTGATTGTCTATTGCCAAAATGGCGGTAAATATATTTGACTTCTTTAATCATCTCCTACTTGTTTGTGGTCGATTGACGCGCATTCACAAGAAACTACGATAGACGCGCTAACCAACCCGGTCTGGAACAGAGAGAACTGTGAAGCGATGAAGCGATCAGCAGAAAGTATCTTCTTCAGGAAGAAATAAAGATATCAAGAGGAAGAAGAAGAAGAGAAGACACTGGGACATATTCAATCTCTGTTAAATCATTTTCATCGATTATTAAAACCAGCCGTGTTCTTATTGTTCAGTTTTGAAAAAGCGTCAAAATATATCAAACCCTGAATCACCTGCATCATGTTTTTCGGTTTTTAACTATTAAAAAGAACAGCAATTTTAACCCTATCCTTGATATAGAGGCTATTTTACGTCATCAGTTATTTGCAAATATTTTAAAAAATCATTAAAACAAACTGAATTGATTATATAGGGACCGACAGAGACAAGTGAACAGCTAATTCCTTCTTGGTGATACTGTTTAATGGTGCCCAATACTTACTGCCTATGCATGGATTCGATTCGGAGACCCCAAGCCGGGGGCTGAATCACTTTCTGGCGAGCCACATGATAAACGATCAGAACCGTCGTCGAGTGTCTATATTCAGTTACATTGTTGTATTTGGAAGAGCGCGCTAAAACTTCCTGACTCCGATAGGAATACAAATAGCACGCTTTGTGGACGAGTCGAAACAGGGAAGAAACAGCTATTCAATATGTTTTGCCAGTCATCATGGAAAAGTTCTCCCCGCAAATAGATTGCATTTTACATGTGCAGAATAAGCGAATGTTCAAGAAGTCGAACGCATGACCGAAAAGTGCATGAAGACCATAAGTGGGCCGTATGCCAATGACCTTCGAATGGGCTCATCTAGCTATATCAAACACTACAGGTGTTACAGGTGATTGCGGTGTTCGATGCTGATAAAGAATTTGTATCATTTTTGTTTGAATAGGGGAGCTGGTGGCTGACTGGCAGAGAAAAGCCCATGGGCACGTGTAGACAAAAACGGTCTCAGGAGAGCAAAGGCAGAAGGGGAAAGAGTAAAAAGCTAAACAACATCGAAAAATTTGTAAAGAACAACGNCGATGGGGGAATATCTTCTTTTACGGCATACAATAGGGTCTCCATAATTACTAAAATTGTTTATTAGGCATTTTGATCGTGTATTGTGAAATTTTCTGTCATCGTATGTAACCCACTTGCGACATTTTGTGAAAGCCACCAAACATCAACCGACAGACGATCGAATGATACGCTATGGACGTTAAATAAAACTGAAACTGAAAGGCATCACATTGCACTCAGTCGATTGAGACAACACCCGGTTAATGCCGGTCCAATTAACCTTTCAGAGTAATGAGCGACGCATGTGGGTGATGTGTTTTACTAGTTGTGAAGATAAATTTGGTGTAATCACGGCTCCAGTCGAGTTGCTTGAACACATCTCGCAAGCACTCGATGATGACGATCATCATCAACAACAACAACAACAACAAAATTTTTATCATCCGTTTCAAATGTTGAAAACTGAGCACCGTTCTACTGATAAGCTCGGAATCAAACCTGTGGTCCTTAGAATGTGATGTTGGGATTTGGGCATCTCAAAAATGACTAAACACGGTCATCCAAATACTATCTCTGAAGGTTTTATTTTAATTTCGCTCATCTGCTGCTACCAGAAGACTATTCTGGTGGTCGATTAGTGGGTGCGGATGGTGTAGTAACGAGACAGAGTAATCGCACAATGTGCCGGTGCACCGTGACCAATGGCGATTTGTTGAATCCGCTAATCCGAGGCTGGAAAATATGCATCTGCGCTAGACAAGATTGTGAATTATGTTGTTGCCATTGAGCTGTGAGGCAGTGGGTGAATCAGTGGTCCCTTTAAAAAATTGGTTCCACACAGAAGAACTTCTCTCTATTTGACTGAAACTTGGTCTATAACTTACTAAAGTCAAATATAAAGTACAAAGACGACGCAGAACCTAACGGGTTTGTATTTGATTTACTGATTGACACGCAAAGTTATATAAATAAGTCTTCAAGCCTAACAAAAACCTATGTTTGTCCATTACATTAGTATCCTTACAATCAAAGTCAGTCTTATTATGGGAAATACAAGCGGTTGCTTTTCTAGTGCCATAGGGTTTAGCACAGACGAATCGATTCACGGTTCATAGAAAGTAGATGAATATCAAAACTTATCCTTGTTTCGTGCACTTCTACGGATGTTGAAATTTAAGACTCTTCAGAGCTTCATCCAGTTTGTGCTTGAATGAATCAGTTGTGGACGCAGAAACAACTTGTGACGGTAGAGAATTCTCAGTAATGCACACTCTGAGGGCGAATGAATGACGCCGGCATTGTAGTCGGCAATTTTGCAGTAATAATTTGCACGAGTGCCCCCTCAGGTGAGTGTTGGGCAAAAAGGCAAAGAATGAACGACATGGGTGATCTGGATCCTGCATTATTTGATACACCAAGATCAAGTTCCCTCGAATGCAGCGATACTGTGGGGACTGCAGTTGCAATGATTCCAGTCTTCCCGCATATCTCTTGGAATGCAGTCCCTTGACCATTTTGGTAGCCATTCTTTGTGGACGTTCCAAAGTCTTCCGATCGCGTTACAGCCATGGATTCCATGCATGAATCGCATACTCCATTTGGGGCAGAATGTGGGCTGATAACAACCGTGGAAACAGCGTAGGTTCAAATTTGCCGAATACTCCTTTTAGCAAACCAACATGTCTTACAGCGGTGGACGACGCCCGTGAGCAGCTTAAAGAATAACTTAAGTCGTCTTGGACAATCACACCGAGATCCTTCTCATTCGAAACATACGGAAGTTGTTGATCTCCCAGGAAATACGGAAACCGCGTTTTGTAGCAAAGGGATACGACCTTACATTTTGATGCATTGAATTCCATATCGTTTTCGATCAACCATTGATAGGCAGTATTAAGTGTTCTCTCAATTTCTAGCGAGTCCTCTGGTTTTTTCCCCGTTTTCCATATTTTTGCACTGTCTGCAAACATTAACGTTTGTAGCCGCAGAATTTCCATTAATAAAACAAGGAAAAGTTGAGGGCCAAGCACGGATCCCTGTGGAACTCCTCGTGATAAGCTGATGGAATCAGAAAGTGACCCAGAAACGCAAACTGCCATGGTGTGCTGTCGAGGAAATTCTTCTTTCCAGCGCAGTACAAGTCCTCGAATTCCATAGTTGTGTAGTTTCCTCAGCATTACCTTATGATTTACTCAGTCGAATGCTTTGGAGAAGTCGAGGTACACGACGTCCACTACATCACCGTGATCAGCTGCTTTTTCCACTCTTCTCGGGCCAGAAGCAGGTTAGTGGTACACGATCGCCTGCGAAAAAACCCATGATGAGCAGTGGATAACATTGTATTTTTCCAAGTGACTCATCACATTATCTGCAACAATGGATTCCATGACTTTGGATAATACAGGGAAGAGAGTAACGGGGCGGTAGTTATCTGGGTCACTACGACAACCACCTTTGTATATGAGAGAAATTATCCCTTGTTTCCACGTTGGTGGGCGCAAAGTTTTGTTGAGCATTTCTTGGAATAGTTCGCTTAGTGTAGCTAAGTTACTCGCTAGGTTGATAAGGGTTTGTGGATGGAGGTTATCTATCCTTGGAGATGCATTCCTTTTCAAACACTGAAATTTCGATGCTATGATTTCTGGGGAAAATCAATTGTGGTGAGCGTTGGATATGATATATCCTCATGTAACACAAGCAGTGCGAAATAACTAGACAGTCAAAATATCTACTATCACCAATTTGATTACAGAAAGATGCCCACAACTTAACTATTAGGTATGCTTTGCCAGTTCCCTATAAACCAGATCCTACTTAATCAGCAAGTCGCCACCAAGCATGCATTATGCATAAGTGAGTTGTTCTTGAGTTTTCGGAGTTTTAATCAATTGATTATGATGAAAAAATGTATTCAAGTGTGATGTTTTGACCAAGAATTTGGCATATTCTCAAACAAAACTTGTCGATAACGAAACGATCGCCTTTCAAATGATACCACACAAACTAATCAAGGCGTTGCCGCTTTGAGTTCTTACAATCTCAAATGAGGCATTTGACCTAATCAATTATCTGAAATTGGGGCTTGCGTAGATTACGGTGCAAACGTCAAAGTGAGTTATAAACAATGGTTCAATTCTATCGAATTTTGTTATTCATTCCAGTGATAAAATGGAGTGTGTCGAAAAATCCTGAAGTGAAGTTGACTGTTCTAGGATGCCCTCAGTGGACTTGTAATTTTCCAGGTGTCATGTTTGTATGCATTTTGTTTTGATTGCCAATAAAATGGATACATAAAAAATGGTATTTCATGTGTGTGTGTGTGTGTCTAATTCGATGTGTGCCTTGTTATTTTAAATTCAAACTGGAGTGTTGCTGAACCGGAAAAGCGTTGCAGTAATGAATAGTACTTATTCATTTCAGTACTGTTGGATTCCATGATACTTCTAGCAATGAAGACTTCCAATAGCTAGTTGCATATCACAGGCAAACAGCCAGACAAACAGACAAACAGACAGACAGACAGACAGACTAAACTAAGTCCTGGTTTTTCAGAGATCCCGATGTCGATGTGGTATCAGATGTCATTTTGGTGCTTTTGGAAACAAGGATATATGGCACTCTCAGTTACATAGAAGTGTTTATCATATTTCCTCCACTTAAACAGTAAAACGTCATATAAGGTAAATTCCAGGTTAATATCATTATGTTGAAACGATTTGGCTTGAGATAAACGTAGTTCGTCTGAACGGAACTCCCTAATAAGTACTCCCTGTTTGACCCGAGCATGCATTTGTACTGACTTTACCGACTTTTGAAGCATTATTTTCTTCCAAATCAATTGCATATTGTTTTTTTTATTTCAAATTTGTTTTGATGATTTGCACCTTTACTCGCTTTAATTTTCATTGTCCAGTCAAAAACATCTTACTAAAAAATTGACGTCCGGGGAAATAAAAAACAAGGATGACATTGGTAATAATAAAATGGTAAATTACTACCGATACATGAAAGCTGAACCAATCGTAGATTGAATTAGCTCCATCTCCTCAAAATTTTTGTCACAAAACAAAGAGTGACTGATGCAACCCGGCGCCAACTTACCGATTGGCCGGACTGTTTTGTTCTGTGCCTGCAATAAACAGTGCTTTGATTTGCCCGTTCGATAAGTGTTGTCGGAGGATGAGACCGGCACGTCGCTGATCGAAACTCGGATGATTTTCAGGCAGTTGAACGGTGTAGAATCTTTCCGGAGCTAACCGGGGATAAATTTGTTCCAATCTGGTCAAAGTGAGTTTCGGACTATACGGGGGTAGTCCACACGATGGTCTAGGTATGGCGTATTTGGTCATCAATTTTTCCAAATTGTCCTAAATTCGAATTGTTTGTTTTTTCAAAAGAATGACATAAAAAATGTAAATTAGGTCTTACGCTTTGAATAACGTAATTCCACTGTGAAATGTATTTAAATGAACTCAGAACAAAAACGTAGGTGCCGACAACAAACACTAAGGACAACCTGTTTGCTTTTGAAACCTGTTTGCAGCGCATGTTCTTATGTGGTTAATGCATCCACTGTTTCATTCACTGTTGAAAGGTTTGAACCTGTAAGTTAAAAAGCTTGTTTTATTGATTAACTATGATGAACGCTATTCACTTTCGATTTCGACCGATCGTAGGGCTCATTCGTGCAACAGGAGTTACCAAACCAAAGTTCAGCTAACCAATTGTATACTGCTTGTTCTATGATAACGTCAGGGTGATACCAGAAATGATATTTAAAAGAAATTGAATGAGGCGGTGAATGTTTGGATTAGCCCATTCGGCTTTTCACAGTCACCAGGTACTGTTGATGGTCATCAACAGGAACTCTTGATGAGCTTGAAACTCGAAATTGATTGAGCCATTTGCACAAGGTAATGACCGTCGAGAGTGTAGCTCAAGGGTAAGGGTTTGAAGTCCCAGCCCGAAGAATTACGGTTTGGGTCCCGTCAGGAACACAAAAACTATGCACTACCGACGAGTCCCAACCAGGACGAAACAGCTGACAGTGCTCTTTATAGGTTGTCATAAAACATTTCCATCGCATTGAAACTGAATGAGGTCTCAAATTTTCGTGCAACCAGTTGTCATGTTTGGAATGTTTCCGACCGAAACGTAATCTTGGAGGGTAAGGTCGAGATGTGGGAAGTGTAATGCTTGCATCAAGCTTGAAAATATGAGTTGTGCTATAACATGTGCAGGCAAAAGGAAAACCCGTCTAACCACCTCCCTAGAGAACAAATGAGTAGAATAAGCTTCCCTTTCCCCAGTGAGGTTCCAGGTTCTATCATAAGTTGCATCCATGGATTCGCACTGCTGAAAAGACCCAACCAAGTCCAGACTGATGTAAAATGTTTATTGGCTTTTCAGATGCTGTAAGGGACGAAATTCATCATATAAATGAAATGGAAATCTTTAAAGGTAAGAAATATATTTCTTGAGTTGTTTTATACTGAATATCATGATAGAAAAAAACCGTGTTGCTCATTATTTTGCAAATCTGCATGGACAGATTCCAAAAATGATTAACTTTAAATTTTTCTCCTTCTGTAATCCATCGAAGATCGGGAAACACAGATTTAATTTTGTTACTTAAGATATACTTCAATAAATCTAGTACCAAAACTCATGTATAATGACAGCTATTTCACTCAACGTTTTCAGCAATATTTGCATGGTTTAATCAATAAAATTTTCTAGATTAACTAAAATGTGAGAGATAAGGTTGGGGGCTACAACCGCTAAAGTTTTGAGGCGGTCAAGCGATGAGATGTGAACACAGTTTCAGGGTTGATGGAATGGTGCGTTGAATCGACCTACTTTTTCTGTGAAATAAGGTCGTCAAAAACACAGAAGGGCATTCGGTTGAATTCGTCAATAGTTTGTATGTGAGAAGAAAATTGGCAGACCTTGTTGAATGGGTCGGTGCCAGTTTGGTGCGATATTGAAGTAGTATTTCACAGAAATGAGTACGGAACTAATCAGTATCTTTGGGTTAGCATATTGGAAGAATCAAGACTGATTGGAATTGCGGTTGACGAAACGCTTTGTCCGGGGAGAGAAATAAATAATTAACGGGTACATAAAATCCAATCACATTCATTTCAATTGGATTTCATCGATGGGAGCATTGTAACCATGAGCAAGGAGATTAGGTTGCTAAAAAAATAGTGTACAAGGAGAATGTTATGCGGAAAACACATCTTAGCATCATACTAAGACCATCATGATACCAACAGACAAACATTTTTCACCACTGTAGTTATCAAATCTTGCTTCTATAAATACCAGATTGTTTTACGTTGTAGCGACTGAAGAGATTAAAAGAAATGTTAACATCTCGCAGTATTTGTCTTCTTTCGGTTCTAACAAACATTTTTTGGTTAATCAGCTAAAATAACTCTATGTCAAAGATGAATAATAGAAATGGCTCATTCCTCTCCCTCTCTATCGACTGAATCGCAGCAGTCAACGAGTCTGGTTGAATTCGTTATTCTAATTGTTTTCTAGGCATGATCCCGTCTGTTTGTGCAGCATGGATTACTGTCAGGTGATACCGATTAAGTGTGCGCAGTAATTTATCGTTTATCGTTGGATTAGTGTAGATCGAGGCAGGAACAACTAGCCGGCCAGGCATTTGGCCAATCTGTATGTACAGATTAGAATATGTATGACGCGACCTAAGTAGCAATCAAAAGCAGGCAATTGCAGTACTAAGCCCACAACCTTTTCGCTATCATGTCTAATCCAGGTACGAATGTTGGTCCTGATTTGTCAACAAAAGCAACAGCGCTCCAAAACGTTCGAATAC